GAGGCCTCCTGGCCGTTCTTCCTGGCAATAGAGCCCCACCCAACGCCAACGTGGGGAGCATGCCCCTTCCCAGCGTGAAGTCGTACTTAACCGGCTCCCGGAACGAGTAGGTTCGTCCACCGGTATCTTCAACAGCTTCGCCACTCTCTACTGCAACTTGTACCTCTTCACTGTCCTCTTCCACGATGTCAACTATCACCTCTTCCTCCTCTTCTTGCTCCTGTTCATCGTCCACCTCAACCGGGGTTTCCTCAATGACTTCCTCACTTTCCTCAGAGGCCTCCACTTCCTCACCATTCCTTTCCTTTTCCAATTGCTCCGCTATTTCTATCAACAACTTGGCGTCCTCACTCAACTCGTACTCCCCCTCCTCCTCCTCACTCGATGACTCCTCCTCCTCTTCCGGCTCTACCACCGGCCCAACGCCCCTCTCCTCAATCAGCCTCCTCGCCTCGACCACTCTGGAGTCCTTCTCATAGTCATCATCAACCTCTTGGCCCACCGTTGTAGCCTCAGCAACAACTTCCACCACAGCTTCTACTTCCCCCTCACTCTCTTCTTCCTCACTGTCATCATCATCATCATCGACCAAAGCCGCCGCCGCTGCCTTCTCTCTCACCTCCTCAGCAAGAGCCCTCCTGGCCGCCCTCCTAGCCCCACTCTTCGCAGCATCATACGAATCCCTCCAAGCGGACCAATACCAGCACACTACCGCACGCCACAGAACTTCCCCCATCCTTCGTATCGCCCGATCCTTCCTCCTTTTCCTCTCCCTCTCCCTCACCTCCCCACCCTTCACCTGCTCGATGTACCTCCTCAAGTGCCTCAGCGGCACCTTTCCCGCCCTCTGCATCAGCACATATGCCGTCTCATTTTGCGTCAATTTTCCACCAGTGTTGACCTCTGGCAAGTAAATTCCCCCAACCGTCCTCTCTCTCTGTCTATGAGTCGTTCTCCTGACAACTGTCTTTCGAGCGACTTTACGATTTTTCGATTTTTCCATCAGTTTTTCCACCCTCCTAACTATAGACGCATCATGCACCTGTTGCCTCCGCCTCTCTATTTCAAACAAGCCCTTAGCTTTCTCTCTATCTTTCCTCAATCCAGGCACACATGTACCACAGATCTGAGCGTCAAATCCCTCCAAGCCGACGCTAATATTAATTCCTAGATACATATATGTTACTGCTCCTACCCACTCTTTGCGATTGCACGCAAACTTTCCACCCGCTTCCCCCGGATAGATTAACACACAGATCTCTACAACTTTCTTCACATCAACTACGAGTCAAGACCACCAAGCAAAAACATACTACATATAATATTCCATTCAAGTTCACTTAGCGGAAGACTCGAAGGCATTTCCAACGTAAATCTACTCCATGCTAGAGTCCCCCCCTCCCCGTCCCTCTCACTTTCATCCTTCTAGTAGGTTCTCCCCCGAACTGAGCCAGTACCACCTCGACCTCAGCCACAGCCGTTGTGAAGCTAGTCGGACGATACTCCACACGGAGCTCCGCTGGCACCTCCGGGGCTATCCTAGTCCTAAGCTCTCCTCTTCTTACATTCCAACACGCTCATGAGGAACCCACCTGTCTACCACTACTGCTATGTCCGGATGCCGACGCAAGTGCAAAACCTCAAATTCGAACTCCAAAGGCACATCACAGCGCAATACAAAGCGCCTCTCGACCACCCCCCCTACAGGGACCTTCCCTAACCATCATAATAGCATCACCGCGAGGTCATCCACACGTCATCACCGAAGTCAACTATCGGGGGCAGCGTTTTCTCCACGAGCTTGTTGCCACTAGCATAGACATGTACAGGGACTTGCAACCCATACCTCTCTGAATCGTCAGTCGGACCACATATGATCTGATGACAATTCCAACACGTCCCAATGAGCAACCACCATTACCTCAATACTCTCAAAGCTGTACTTATAGTCCTCAGGAGTGACCACCACATCGATGTCTTGAGCCATGCCCGGTGCCAAGAGCCCCACCTTGATGAACTCTAGCTGGATGCAGGAGGAGCTCGACAGCGATACTATGGTCAGTCTGAGGACCATAGTCAAGGAGTAGAAGGAAGGACAGGCCCTCTGATACCTCATACTGCGGCTGCCAGTGTTGACTATACGCAACCTCTCCTTGTATCGGGTACGAGGTCTGACCCCCGAGAAGTGCAGGGCGGCCGGTCGAGCCTCGATCCGGCAACCTGTGGTCGCCTCACCTGACATGAGGGCACCTCCCTTTACAACAGATCTGGCGAGAACCACCAGCGAAATGCGTCAGCTCAAACTTGGGCTGAACTTTTCCTCTAACCTCGAGATCTCCTTGACTAACAGATAGTAAAGAACAATTCGAAAAGGCTTCGATCAGCCTCCCGTACTCAGCGCGTATGCTTCCAACAGATACTTCACTTGCCGTCATCCTTCCGTTACTCGACATGAACTTGAGCAACCCCAGGGAAAGACCAGAGCATTGAGCCAACACAACAGTTACTATATGATAGCAGAACTTATTTCTCGAGGGAGAGGAACTATAAATAGTAACGGTGAAGCTACAAGATAGCGACAACACCGGCAGCAGTAGACTGATGATGTTGCCGACTTTAGTGATATCAACAGAGAAAGGAAATGAACAGTAAGCTATGAGAAACCTCCCAGGGTGCTCACACATGTTCACAGTGACTTACGCACGTACTCTGATTCCATCCAGTTCATCACTGCTGTTATTCTGTTTAGCAGGAGCAGTAGAGGTGGAAGAGGATACAGTGACCGCTAGAGGCACCATCCTTCTAACGTAATCATACACCTCTTCCCAGTTCGTGGCCACCACTGCTTCTTTAGGAATGGGTGACTCTGGATCATGACTCCAACCGTACCTACAACAACACCACCTTACAGCGACATCAACATCAACAACAACAACAACAACAACAACAACATCATCATCATCAGCAACATCATCACCCCCGCCTCTTACTCATGATTGTAGTCGAATAGGATTCCACCGAAGCCGTGACTAACAGCGTCATTGATATACGTTGGGTTATCATCGATCAGTAAGCTAGCACCAATATCCTATCAATATAAATCAACATAACCAAACAGGCCAACCAACTTACTTTGCACATGTCTGCCTTGGAGATCTGCTTGCCAGACAGGCCGAAGTGATTACCTAGATGGACCCTGCTGGAGGGGATACCAAAGTTCTTGAAAATCCAGTCGTAAGTGTCTTGTCGAATTTGCTAAGAAAAGCGACGTTGATGGTGTCAGTGGTGAAACCACGACTCACATCTTGCCGGGAAGTAACTATATGAACATCAGCGAATTTTCCGATTTTCCTTATGTACTCCTGAGCACCGGGAACGAGAGGAATGCCGGCCTTGAACTCAGGAGACTCGTGAAAGAGGTAGCACTTCTCCATAGCCTCCTTCGCTGTACCTGACAGCCACGGCAGACCTTCACTCGACCGAGTCACCAACTGGTCGTTCGAGCGCACGACTTTCCACGGAGAAATCACTACTACGGACCCAGAACTAACGATAGTCGAATAAGCCATCTTTATGGTATGTAAATACGAGTAGTAGTACCTCCCTGAACTTCCCAGAAACGATACGTGAAGAAGTCGGAGACCTTCAAGTGTGTGCCATAAACTCTATTGTGCCACTTTGAGTAAGTGGCCAGGTATTGGCCAAGGACCTCATCAAGGTCGCAGGCTACTACAGGCCGCTGACTAGCAGTAACAGCAGAGTTGGAGTTACGTAAAGTACTACCTCCTGCCATAGGTGAAATAGGAGTGAAATGAAATATCTTTCTAGAGATATGATGTTTGATGGTGTTACGTGCTCTAACGATTGTAAATCTGTGTGAAAAATTCCGCTTTCTCCGTATAATCGTTCGTGCTAAGATTTACACACCCAATCGTCGCAATATTTGTAACTGCTACGGGCTCCGTGGTATTAACGTCGATATTATGAGTCGACTTTCCCCACTTAACAACGGCAGGAAGACTTGTTATCACTATGTAAACAACTGTGTTAACCGTGGAACGAGTTGCAGACAACCTTTAAAAGTAGAGATTTTTGTACCGGACGAGGTCCACATTAACAGCTCATGATATGTTTGAACCTGGGTCGCCTCCGCGATGCCTGGGGAGCTCTACCGTCAGCGAAAACTCTCCTTCTCAAAATCAACTGGAGAAGCTTACGAGTGTACCGCGCGGCAAACAGAGGATTATGGGCTTGCCTGGCGATCTGTGAAAGGACTGTGATGATCACCTTGAACTAAGCCGAACCGGAAGATCACCTTATTAGGTTAGAGCTACTCTTCCCAGCGATGATAGTATCTCTGATCGACTCCAGGCACAGCTGTGGGTCCGCAGTTGAAAACTCCTGCTGAAAACACTGCATTCGTGGAGGACTTATCAGACGAAGTGAAATAGGAAAGTTCGTAAAGTACTATCACTTACTACATCGCGTACTCGATCGCTGCTATAAGAAAAGACCGCTGGGAAAGGTTTACTTCAATTCCAGGGAAGAGAGATCGAGACGTTGCCCATCAGCCTAGTGAACCTGGGCAACTCCTGTTACATGAATGCCACCATACAGGCCCTCCACTTAGGCAGGCTCTATTGAAGTAGTACTACTCAGTCTTCCCGAGACTCCTAATCACTGTGATGTCACCTACGACAGCGGGTCACATAGTGAGGGTAGCGGTCAGGAGAGGGGCCTGAGCGCCTTGGTCCACCAGACCTTCAAGAACCTCGGCACTAAGGCCAATAATGCCTTCGAGCCTGCCAGCTTATTCGGGTTATGTTTCCGGAGACATTCGATAAGACAACTCAGGGAGGTACACATCCGGGCCTACATTGTATCTTGGCTGCCGTGAAAGATATCAATCAATTCACAATGCTGCTCAGGCGTTATTAAACACCTCAATTAGAGGAATCACATGCGAGGAAAAGAAAGGGATTATCGATCGATTTCAATTATGGAGAGTAAATACCTACGGGCAACTACAGGTGTGTGTCGATAATATCTCATGAGCGGCGACCAGCTGAGGGTGGACACTATGGGTCGGGCTATGGCATTGGTCAGGACTATGTCCTTTGGGTTCAAGGAAGCTGATGGGGATGTATTTAAAGAGGACCAATGGGTTCGGTTCAATGATGGTAAGGTCACTCAGCATGACTAGAGGTCGCAATATCCTCTACTGTGGGGAGACACCGCATCAGTGTGTATCTAGTGGACGAGTTGGTGGGGGGTCGGGCCGATACTCAAATAGCGTACATTGTGATCTACAAGAAGGATAAGGTGCCGGATGGGTCCATAGAAGAGATCGTCGATGAGGAGATGGAGATGGAATCCAATCCCGAGAAGAAGACGGCCAAAAAGTGAACAGCTGTGTGATACCAATATACTAGGTTTTTCCCTTGCACTATATATGCTCTTGTGTTAAACTGGTTAGTCCACTATGCAGTCTGCGTAGCACACACGGTTATTGAGTTGCTTATTATCGAACTCGACCAGCAATGAGAACTTCTATACTCAGAATCCTCAGAGAACTGCAACCAGTTGCCTCGGCTCGGTAACACTACCTTCTTAGTAACAACACTTTTGGCAACAACAAGAATGGAAGACATTGTACATTGCCGGGTATTGAGGCCGGATATGATGGAACTGTAGACGACATCAATCGAGCCACTTACAGACATCCCATCACATTGTGAGTCTGGCGAACTCCATGGAGAGCGGTTTCGGGTCGAGCCTGCCTACCACGAACAATCTTGAATGCTAGTATGGGGATCTCACATGAACAGCACAGGCACATGCGCACTTGATACTGTGTAGCTCAGAAAGGACTATCTCGAGGGCAGCAGCCGCCCTACAGTATGTCTGAGCAGTTGAGTTCTCAAGCCGCGGCGGATCAAAACAGTGCCCCCTGCGGATAGTTTCGGCTCTCATTTAGCTACTGGCATCGCTAATACTCAACGAACTCAACGACACTCGCAATGGACATGACATCTATTGACATCGTCATCATCACAACGGTCTATCATAACTTCCGGAAAGAATTCCCCGAAAAAAGCCTAAAGCGTTTCTTCTTCATCTTCTTCGTTTCCTCTTTCACAAGCTCATCATCAGTCTCGGAACGGGCCTCGGCAAGGGAAGTATGCAATGGTTCGACTCTGCTGCACAACATCGCTATGAAACCTTGATTCGCATTCTTTCCCCCGACATTCATTTCCGACATCGCCATGGCTTCCACTGATATTTTGCACATCTCCGACAACGAAGGTTCACGATCCTGGCTGGCAGTCGTTCGGGCCGCTGACTCAACCTTGGGTATCCATTCCTCAACAGCTACCGTGGCTTCGGCAGCGCTGGAATAAAGCGTATATGCTAGAGATGAGTACTGTGCATGGACTTACTCCAGTGCGCTCCTGCCATCACAACTGAGGTAGATGATGCTAATGGACGGCCTAGTGTATTCCAATAGGGAGGGTGAGGCGGTCTTTGGAAGCCACTTGAACATCACTGTACGGCCATAAAGACCTTCAACAGAGCACGCAGCGCCACTTCCCATAGTCACCTAGTGAGGGACAGTAGCACATAATGCACGACACAGGAAGGGACTGGAGTTACTTCAAGAGACGAGGCGTTCATGACAGTTAGACAGCTTACGAGGACCGCTAGTGGAATCCTTTTGAATGCAGCAGTGCCGGTAGGGGTGGAATTGGCCATTGATTACCGAGTGAATACACTGGTGAAACTCCTACTTATATACGAGGCGTTGTCTCAACCTCGAGGTTATTCCAATACGAAGACCTCCTTATCTCCTTGATCCTGAAATCATTCTCGTCGTTAACACGGATATTTTCTCGTCCCTAGGGTCAATGCAGAACCGGAATGTCCGTGCTGCATGCGTATAATACTCGTAACCGCACGTTGTACAATGATCCGACCCAGCCACCATCGTTACGTTGAGATCTGGTTAGGTTGACGGAGATGGAAATGATGGTCGAGCGACTCTCAACCTCATCAAAGGGCGAGCGAAGCGGGTCATTCCACTGTGGCCCACAGCAGCAAATCAGCTCGGTCTCGAGTTCTCAGTTCAACTATCACCCTTAACGGTTGCTTCACCAAACATGACGATGGAGTGTATCGATAGCTGTGTTATAATAACACGTGGATGCGTATGCGTGCGGATACAAGCGCATATGACAGACCATGAGTCGTTCCGTTATTCTTCATCACCACTAAGCGATGATGGAATGCGTCAACAGAATATACTCTACTTAGTTGACAGTTCCACGTCAACGGCTTTCGATTCAAAACCCAATACATCCGCCTCGGCCAGCCTACGATTGCATTCTTAGCAGTTTTAGCCACAGTAAGAAGCAAACGCAGCAAGCCATCTACTACAGCTGTCGTTGATAATCTATACGATGATGACTCCCACTCATACCGGAACACGTGGCCTGCCTCTATTGATAATACAAATTAAAACGACAACCTTTCAACATGATAGACCGTAGGGCTAGCACGGGTGACAATAAAGCTAGTGCTTATTCATCTCAGCACTCGGGTTGTCATCTACACAAATTTCTACACAGTTGACTATTGATAGAATCCCTATTGGATTCAACGGCACTCAAATCCTTGGCCATGATTTTCACACCGTATCGGTACTTAGCGACTTCTGTTGTAGACTTTTCCGGAGACACCTGCGCACAATCCTTCATACTTGGTCTGACCTTTAGCTAGAGCTACTTAGTCTTGCTATATACTGCTGTATTTACCTACTGAAAAACGATAGTGTTGTGTTTATCATGGCTCCTAAGACCAAGGCCAATCACTGTGTCGCCTTCGTATAGAGATCGTTCACCCCTCCACCGGTTCATGGGGTATATGTACTTACTCAGCTTCTCAGGCAAGCTTACTGCATTGATGGAATGAACAAGGCGAATTCACAGACTGCATCTCAAATTCGAACTTCTTGTCAAGATAAACCTCAACTCAATGCCGTTTTCGAGAGCACTTCTGGACCAGTCGAGCTCCCTCATGAATAGTCATACAGTAGAGCAATCCTAGTATCCGACACTTCCTGAACATCTCATAATGAGTAGCCACAGTGGGTCGAAGTCGAGACAAGGATGATGAACCGGAAACAACGATAGCAGGAAGTACCTACTCCGGTGGCCAGCTGGAGTAGTGCTGAAGCCACTCAATAAAGGAAATGAGAGATGACCTCGCCTCTATTTGGACTTCCCATTAGTCAATCTCAAACACAAAGGCGACTAGACATTGAACATCTCAATGTGGTTCATCATGGTACGACTTGTGAGGAGGTTCAATATGCTCCCTCACTATTGCAGCAATGCTCCTGTGAGTGGCACAAAGTCGTAGTAGACGACGCACTCTCCCCCAGTGATACCACAATCCTGCACCACAACGACAACGCCAGATCCATGTCATCACGCAGTAGCCGCCCTCACCTCAAGCGTCTCATCTGGCCGGATTATTTCCTCGGGATGGAACCTGTAGAAAGGGAGAGAGGGAGTGATTAATACCACAAAACTGAACCCGGGTGGGTTAGAATAGTGCGAGCCACTCTGTGATCCTAAGCAATGCCTCCAGTTCGTTTCCAGAAGTATCAATATGATAACAATGTGAATTGGCTGACGACATAGCAGACGCCCTTCTCCAACCAACACTAGTGCTCTCAACATTCAGGAGAACATTCCTATGATTTTGTATAATGGTGTGATCCATAGTGTATACCGGAGTGTACTGTAAAGTCTCCCACACCACATAAGGAAGGATGATCCCCGAGAGTAAGCTCACCTGTTGACACACACCGACACTTCTCGTATACTGCCCCCGTGCCTTTTGACTATCAAGTCCGTTATGTATGATATTTTGGTAGTCTACCATAGCATGGCAATACGGGAAGTATATAGAGGTAGTGTACCTCCTTACCGGAGGTAGTGCTTTGGTGAACTCTAAGAGGGTGCACACCGGCGCGGCAAGCTTGATGGTCGCTTGGACAACCCGGGAGTCTAGGCGGGCAGGTTTGAACTCAGGATGGGAAAATCTGAGGTAATGCCGATTACAGAATTGACTCTCATAATGCGCTTTTTGCGGGAACAGAATTATACACGTTTGACTTGGTAGATTATACGAGTCACTGGTGAAACGTTCATCATCATCATCAACAACCTCAACCAGTCGAACAAATGAACAGAATGCGATAGACAAACTAGCTCATTGAACAATTATAGAATCCATTCTATTATACTTCTCTGGGCGGGAAATCGAGTCTCTAAAGGTTCTATCTCGTACTATGAGGTCTCACTTGGGAGGTTCTATCACAGGAGGTGCTTTCGCGGCCTTGCCCTTCTTGCCCTTACCAGCTGCCTTCTTGCCCATGAGGGAAGGTTAAGTCAACTGATGATAAGTTTTGATAATATGATGCTCTTGTGATTGACTAATGTACAAAATTTACGATGTAAAAATGTGTCTATTTCACATCTTGCTACGAATGGAGATCGATTAAACTATAGCTTGTTCAGAAAGGAGCGGTAGAGACCGCTGTGGCTCGAGGAGCATCCCGCAAGATGATCCCCAGAATGTTCAACTGAGGTTATGATCGCTGTTAGGTCTAGGAGGCAAGTTGAAATTTGATCGTTCGATCAAAAATTTGAAAATGAGCTGAATTTCGCGCGCGCCCGATGAGTGATGCAATTCCGCATTTGTGGTGCGTGTATGGTGTCGCGACCTTTCTCTCTTTCAAGGCAAGATTAGAGCCACGAGACGGCTTCTTTGAAGAGAGCCTTCGCGAACGCATCTCGAATAAGATGCGGAATGTGGTAAGTCTTCCCAGTGCGGAACTAACTGAGGTAAGTTTTCGAGCCATTGTTCATGAGGGTGAACTTCAGTGACAGAAAAGGGACATATACCGGATTCCGATCATTCTATCTATATTTGCAAACTTCCGAAATTTGTGCTTGCTCACATCAGCGAGAAGGTTCATAGCATCAGCGTAGTGGTAACTCCCATACCCTCCTTCCTCCATGGTTACGTGGACAATTTTAGGCTCCGCAACAACCGGTGAATTTGAATAGTTGAAAAATAGTCGCAAAATGCACTATGTGAAGGTAAGGTCGACATTTCTGGTACCGACATGCGGGAGAAGGCTGCAGGCCATTTGAGCAAACACCAGATTGTTGGGGCTCCGGCGTTACCGTCAGTCAACTTGAGTTACTGATCGTGGCTGATAAGCGCTCATAACATGGCACAAGGAGCTGGTGAATCGACCAGGCCTTGGGGAGAAGATGCGCCCACTACGTTGAAAGCCGCTCTTTATAACGTCTCTTCGTCCATCCCCACTGTCGCCTCAAGGCGACTGTTCGTACCAACTCCGTGATGCACATCTTAGCGGTTCGCCTTGCTCGCCAGGCAGTAAAGAGGCTGTTGATGGCGAATCGCCGTTGGCGATACCATTTTCTTGATAGTGTGCATGAGCACCTTGATGAGCATGTCACCGGTACGAGTCTCGTAGGCTTCCTTAGCCTGGGACGAGCTCTTCTCTTATGTTCTCGGCTACTACTCGTCATCTCTTTACTTTACGCCTCTGCCATGACCCTATTGGTAGCCCCGTTGAGAGTTGATGATACCATGTTCAAGCACTGATCACCGAAGCTTGGCGGGAAGATTAATTTTTGGTATCATCATGTCCTCCGCCTTTCCACCGAGCTACGATGTTTTCAAATGACCATCAGTCTTGTGTCAAGTTCGGGTGCTTGTGGATCGGAGTGACGACGGATTACGTAACGGATTTGTATCATGTTTCACGGCTGGTGTAGATTGCTAGTGACATTACACAGAGGCTATTATCAATTGACATCAGGGTAAGGAGGAAGCGAAACAGTAAACTCACAGTGTAACAAGTCTATGGCCAATCCCCGAGCCTTCTCATCACCAACAACTCCGCGGTCGAATGAAGTCGAGCTGGTTGTGATCTCTCGATCTAGCAGCAGCAGCATTGAAACCAGTCAGCCCAGGACGATAGTTGGTCCCACGTCCCTCCTCGGCAGTGGCCTCTGTGTCCTGTCTGCTTTGTTCTTCTCCCTCATGCAAGTCTGTGCTCACTTAGCGAGTGATACGTTCTCCAGTGCCCAGCTCATGCTCGGACGATCTCTCATACAACTACTGGTCTGCCTGATAGCTTGTTACTATGCAGGAGTTAACCCAGTCGGTCCACATGGCATCCGTCTGGTGTGTCTTTTCAGAGGCTTTCTCGGCGCGATGTCCAACTTCCTTCTCTACTACGCGATCGGAAGCATGCCGGTAGCCGATGCCAATGCCCTATTCTTCACAAACCCCCTCTTCACGATGCTCTATGCAGTTTGTTTGTTACGAGAACCCTCGACTAAAGTGGAGGTGTGCTCCCTCTTCCTTGGCTTCACTGGTGTGATTTTCGTCGCCAGGCCGAGTTTCCTCTTCGGCTCAGCAGCAGCTCCGCAGGACGGCGGGAAAGATACCACCGTCTCGGCTATCCTCGCCTCTCTTCTCGGTGCTTTGATCGGCGGTTTTGTCCCTATTGTCGTTCGCTACGTCGGAGGTGCTGTTCACTATTACGTGATGGTCTTCTATTGGGGTGTCGCTGGCACTGTCATGAGCACCATCGTGGCCTTGTCTATCCCGAATTCCTTCCAGCTACCTCCATTCACATCCAACACAAGAGCATATCAACTCGGTATTATCGCTGGCATCTTTGGAGTTGGCACACAGTTTGCCTTCAACAGGGCCATGCAAATTGAGAAGCCCCAAAACTGCGCCATGCTCCGACAGCTGGACGTCGCCTTGTCCTTCGTGTGGCAACGGATAGCAACCTCGTCCCCTGTGCATCCACTCAGTGTCGGAGGTGCCGTGATGATTGTTAGTTCGACGTGTTTGTTACTACTGGAGAAGATCCTGGGTTGGAAGGAAACACGGCAGCCTCGTGAAGTGGTGAATGTTCCGATCACGGCCAGTAGAGATGGAGCTGTCCCCCAGATTATCGGGAAAGAGTGATTGCATCGGATCAACGTCCATATATGATTATTTTGAGAATCACTGAAGTATTTTCCAATGCGGTACTCGTCACCCTAAGAGAGTTTTTGTTGGCGGACTGAACCGAATAGAATAGCTGTTGTGTTGAGGGAAGTGGAGTCAGATGGGATAGATAGAGTTCTGAAGTATGCGCAGTAGTTGTTGGAGGATTCTTGTGGAGACAGATCGGCTACGTGAGAGCCTACCACACAGCCCTAACCATCAAAGGTAGGTGAGAAGAAGTGTAACCTCATTCATCTCCCCAATAGTGGAGACCTCCGAGAAGGGAACGGCAAGTCGCAATAACATTTACCCCCGACTTGACGAACACAATAGTTGACAAAAGAAATGATACAAAATAGTTTTACGTTCACAGAATGTCTCCCAAACCTCCTGTGGGCTTCTCGTCCATAGTAGGACGCTTCGAGTGCTCGGCCCGTCTAGCTTCAGTGGAGTAGCCGCCCACTAGCCGATCCAATTCTGACATCACCGGTAGCCGCTGAGGTCTCCCTGGGACATTCCGAGAGATCGCAATAGCCATTAAGACGGCCACAACTAGGCTGAGCATTGACCAGAAGATGCGCACGCTGTATAGTGAGACTTGAAGGCTCGGATGCAAGATATTCAAACACCTTGTTGAGCTCCCTTGACATGGTACAACGTAACGCGGGTAGCCCGCCAATGCTGGCCGGAAGAGTCGCTCCGGCCACGAGTGGTTGGTAGAGCCCAACATGGGAGTTACAAATGTGACGTAGGCTACACCGCAGAGGAAGGCTGTTGAGTGCGCAAGTGAGCCGAAGTCCAGGAAAGACTTTCGAGGCTCCGAAGTGACTAAATCCATGCATAGTTGCAGTGCTGCGATGAACAGCCTGACGGAAACAAAGGAAGGGTCGGGCGGCAGTGTTACACCGGCACCAGCAAGCAATACATAGATAGTAATGATAGCACCATCAACAGCATAGCATACGGTCGATAGACCTCCAAATACGATGGTCCAATTGTCCCTTAGTCGGCCACACGACCCGACCAACACTGATGTGCCTGTTGCTAAGACCACGAGCACTGCGAGATGCTTCGACCCGATGCCACAGAGGGGGTAGCAGAAGCCAGCGGAAATGGGAGCGGCGCCACAGCGCAGGTTAGCCCCACCAGGAAGATCGATGTTGGGAGTGGACTCCAAGTCCAAGCTAAAAAGCAGATGAATAGTCGATACCATAAGGCTGGCGAAGTTGGGATGAACCAGGGGATATGTGAAGACCCGCCACACTTGGAAGCGACCGAAGAGCGGCGCTGGTTCAAAGGTTAACTCATCTGATAGGAAAACTGTCAGTCTCATTCAAGGGCCTGATGGAGACTTACCCTTAACAGCTGCTACTCTTGGCTTGACGATTCGCATCAACCACTGGAGGAAATATGATCCTAGGGCGAGGCCAAGGAGGGAGGCCATAACTGGGCACGCCTTGACAGTGGCGCTGATGGAGGCCATGGGCCACACTATCGGTAGGATGAGCAGACTTGGCACGCTCTTCACCGTCTCGCCCACGCTCCACATCAACCTTGGTCCTCCGAGGGCCAAAGTCAGTGCCACTAGCAGTACTCTAGGGCGAAGCCGACTACGGCGGGGCATAGGGAAATGTTGACTCCTAGCGATCGGAAAAGTCACATTCGCGAGCGTCAATTTGGTGGTGGCGGTCAACTATGGAAAATCGTTTCGTGGATAAATGCATCAATTCCGGGTTGCAATTTTAACTAAGTTCGATGACGCCTCTTCTCAGGCTAACGGAAGCAATAGGTACGGGCAAGATGGAACACTGCAGACGGCAAGCTTTCCACAGAGCATGACTTCACGCAGCGAGGAGCTCTTCCATCCGCATACATTATTGCGCACTTTCAAGAGCTCTTCATTTGTGTGGTGGAGACTACAACCCGAAATTGATGTCCCTATCCGTGTGATTAATTTCCTCATTCGACCGCCACCGTCTGCGAAGGTGATTTCAGTTGTTCGCTGGAACGGTGGCCCCAACCGCAAAATCGATGGCCGAAAGGTATGGAACACAATACCACCATCACGAGCAGTGCACAGTTAGTAACAGAAACTCAGCCCCGTAGTTGAAAGTCACTCAGACTCCAGAGATTCCTGAACAAACGTTTTAACATCCTTCCGAGCCTCTGCGGGGACCATGTGGCCCTTGGCGTGTTCGAATATAACTGGATCAGTGAACATCTTGGCAACTCTAAGGCTACGGTCTTCGGCGACCACCTGATCTGACTTGCCACAGATGAACATCGCCCGAACCTAACGAGATGCCAGTTAGTGGCGACGAGGCGACTGTTTATAACATCACCTTGGGCCACAGGGGACAAGCACGAATTTCTGCTTCCTGCTCACTATTATTCTGTGGGAAAAATGCGCCACAAAGGATGATGAACTTAACCTAGAATGACCGAGAGCAGATGATCAGCGATTCTAGATGATGACGATAGCTCACATTTTCGAATGCCTGAGGGTACCGAGCCATAGCAAGAAGGATGGCAGGCAACCCATGGAAAACCCAACAAGCCCTGTGTCTCTGGGGTCATGGCCTTCGCAATGCTCTCTACAAAAAACTCGCCCAAGTTTTCCTGGAGAAGAAACTGTAGGAAACCACACACGCCGCCTACAAACCTACCGGACTCTCCTTCTTAGGATCAATCCAAGTGTAAGTCTTCTCGCTGTCAGGGTCATGGCTGGCGAAAACGTCATCTGGAGGCACCTCGAAGGGCCCTTGGAGGAAGCTGAGATAGAGGGGGATGACAAGGAGCACTACTGACCTGCTGGTTATATCGTACTCGAAATGGACTAGTCTCTTGCACTGCCTCCGGATACCACCAGTCTTCTGACGGAAGCCCTCAGCGCTCTGAGCATGGCCATGAACGCAGAGAACACGATGGGCCAAGGTGGGATCACTTTCGCCAGAGGTCGAGCTGCTGGCTGTAGAAGCAGCTACCATAGTGATAATACGAGAGGAAACTGAGAATGGTCATTCATGCAATAACAATGACCGCTACCTTGCTCGGAAAATTTCTCGACATCCGTAGTGAGCAATCGTGTGTACAGTGTGCCAGTTGGCCGAGAGGGATTCCCTACTTCTCCTCCAACATTGTGAAGGGACAGGGCCAACACAAACCAGTGAGGCCCCCCCCTTGGCAGGAAGGGACAAAGACAACACAATTCAGGGAGGCATTTCACGTCGTAGCTCTCACGACTGAGAATTTCAGAGGCCTTGTGATATCTAATTAAGTTATGTTATGGTCAACCAGGATTTGAGGTGCCCTAGAATGCATTTTGAGGACCTCAAATTGAGATATTGCCTGAGTTTTAGGAGCAAATCTCGCCTATGTTGTAGCCCCTGTAAGACGTGTCTCGGTAGTTGAGTATGCGGAAATATGCACATGGCACATGGCCAAGTACACGTGGTGGTGACAAGACGAGAATTCTGAGTCATTTTTGGGAGATTCTCGTTGGTTTCTGTACCCTTCTATCCGAATTCTATACACCTTTTAAACATCTAGTTCGTTTTTGGAACCATCAATTCTGTCGGGACGCGCGAAGTTGGAGGTACGAATCCGAATTGGGAAGATCATATTCACAATTAGAACTTTCAACTTCGTCGTAGAACATTCGAGTTCGTCTGAAGTCGATAGGAAGTTCAAGTTCGTATGAATAAAAGTTTCAATTTCGACTTTTAAAACTTCGAATTCGTCAGAACTTTCAATTTCGTCGAGTACACCTTCAGACCTCCAATTTCGTCCCTTTAGGAAAATCGACTTCGTTGTCCAGAACTTCAATTTCGTTTACCGGGGCAATTGTGCCAGTACTCTCATGTTGGTTTCTGTACCCTTCTATCCAAATTCTACAGTAAAAGAGAGAATCCTTATGCTCAGGTGAGGAAAGCCAACATATATTCCAACACCGTGGTAGTTTGTTATCGTCACTGGCTCCTATACTCTTAATGTGCTCCCCAGAATGTGAAAGACCTGGTCTTCAAGATCACAAACATGAATCTCTTTGTTTAGATCGGCGTCGCCGTCTGCCTGTACAGCGAGATGGGCCATTTTCCCCTCTACTTTGGAAATCACTAGCCCATCTCGCTAGGAATCTCTGGGGGAACCTGATCATTATCACACCACAGATACTATAGGGGTCGAAAAGGGTCAACAATACAACAAATGAGAGATGTTCGACGACAACAGATGACTAAACAATCTCGGCAGCTGCGGCAGCCGGGCAATTTTCGCGATACCATCGGCCGGCCAAGTTGTGGTACATGACAGTGGTATTCCAAGCCGGCACTGATTGATAGGACCAGTCGAAAACCAGAGGGAAGTTCTTCGCTGGGTGCACCCCTAATCCCACTGGATAGTCACATTCATGGAGTAGCATCTCTGGCGGAGCAAAGGACGCCGCGTAAATCGTATGGTTCACGGTGGAACCATCCTGGTCGTGAGCTGGTGAGGGAATGAAAAAAGAAGTATTAAGAGCCCGCAGAGGCACACTGCGTTGATCTACCACTGCCCAGCCGGCTGGACTCTCCCCATGCTCGGGGATATACGCCTCTACCTGATACACAAGCACACGTGGATCCTTGAAAGAACCGACAGAGACGCCTCCTACCCAGTTGTGATTGCCACACGGAGCATCCTTATCTCCATTGGGACACTCGACATCGCCCTTATTCCAGTGAGGTGTCCCTGCAACTCTCGCTGGTACACCAACAGACCTCAGCGCCGCTACCAAGTACAAGGCCAGACCTGAGTCACGAGGACATCACCATTTACGAGTGTAGCTCCGGAGTCACCCGTGCAAGAGGAACTCTTCCTTTCGATCACATCGTAGAGGCTGTAGGGATCAGCCTCATTAGGAGGGGCGGCCACAAAGGTAATTGGCGGTTTGGTGAACTCCCAGGCTTTCTCGTTGAGTGTCATGACAGCGCAAGTGGCATCTAAGCACGGTTTCACTAGAGACTGCATGAAGCTGATGAACTCCGAGCCGTGGCCACTTGAACCATTGCAACCACGGAAGTCACTCGCTTCTTCCGATAGAGAGGCGAACGGCAATACGTCGTTGAGGAAGAGAGAATGGGCCACTTGCTGACCCCAGGGGAACCTCCTTCTTGTGAGCTGGGCTTGCCGTACTTGACACAATAGAAACTCTATCGAGATTTTCCCCTTGTCGATCGGACGCTGATACGATTGTAGGAAAACCACTGGATCTTCAGGGATCCGCGCGAAACTGCAGAGCAGTGACGAGAGATACAGTAGCCACCTCAGAGAGGCCATAGCGACCAAAGCGGTATCACTGTTGACTGTACGTCCCTTGCCCCTTTGATGCATAACCAAACAAGCATCTCTATGGTATGATATCAATCGCAAGCAAATATCAGAGGAAAACTATGATAAAATTAATTGCCGATGGAGACTGTAGACATAGCGATGACGTAGCCCGGCCGAAACTCAGGCGAGGCATGAGCCTGTCCAGAAGGAGGAGTTTAGACCCGTAGGTTGAGTCAACCTGGTTGACCAGCCGTGCGCAGGGAGTATTCGATAAGTACTATGGAGACAAGCTCTGGCAGGCAGTGCTTTGTGTCGAAGCTGCCGAACTTCAAAACGATACTTTGAGACGAACTCACCACTCAATAAGCCTGTTCGCTATATGATCGAACTGCTATAACGCAAGTACAATAAATGCGATTATTAGTGAAACTCGTGAGAAGCTGGCCCATCTAGCAGTGGGTGGCTAATCTTCTCAATAATATTCGGGACCATCGAAAAAGCTGCTCAACCCCTAGTAAGAACAGTCGATGTAAGAACGAAGTTGATACAAGACAGACGAGCAGCTGTTGTAAAAACCAGAGAAATGCCTATCTAGATGGTGAGAACTGGCCCTACCCTGTGACGACTTGGAATATGAGAAGCCACATGTTCATCTGATGCCAGTCGATTGTTGCTTGATTCGATAGTACATGCCCCAAGACATGAGGCCTGCTATTAGACAGCCACCAGATGCAGTAGAAAATGGGACGTTCACGTTCATGTCGTATAAAGGGCCGGCTAACGCTGTTGCTATCAGCCTTCCCACACCTTGAGAGAAGGTCATATACCCCATAAGCTCGCCGATCCTGGATTTGGGGGCCAGATCGGCGACAATATTAGGCCATCCCGAATAAAAGATCGCAATTGTTGTACTGAAGAGGATCCATTTGTCTACAAGATAGATCGCAATCGAGTTGAGTAAGAGCATAA